GAGAGAGAGAGGGAAGGAGGGGGGGAGGGAGGGAGAGGGGCGAGCGGAAAGGGAGGGAGGGAGGGGCAAACAAACGAACAGAGAATTAGACGGAGACGGAGAACTATGTGCAAAAAACGCGTCCCGATCGAGGCTGGGGGACGGGCCAACCCCCTTGATTCACTGTTGATGTGCGTTACATCTCCAGACGCGGTATGGATCAGAGAGTGCCGTGGCAGTGTCGTAGCATCTCAGGTGCCGCACGAGAGGGGGTGGCAAAAGCCACACCGCTCTACAACAACGCCCCCACCCTCTTCTCCCTCCCACAGATGTTGTTGTTGCGGTGGTTTGTTCGGCGGTGGGTGGACTGTCGCTTCCCACTAAAGTAATTTCCTGCATTTCCGGTCCAAGCAATGTCGTGGGCACGTGAAACATGAACACGCTCCTTTCTTCACGTCGCGACGACACAATAGAGATACGCTGTGATCAAAACACCTTACATGGTGCTACTTGAACTAACATCTGATTATTTCTCTACGGTTCCACCAACACAAGAGAGACGCGGTTGTGCCGACATAATAGCGACTCGGACGGCATATTGTCATATATACAACGACGGTAACCATGTAACCATAGAGCACACGGTGAGGAGTGCAAGAAGCAGCACGGTGACCGTTCTAACAGCGGGGGGCAATTCTTCACCATATTTCAACACAAAACGACGAGTGGGGGGTTGGGGGGGCGGAGGCGGCGATAAGGCACCGCCTATGCGATTCTACTACACCAAGGCACATCTGCGAGCGGCGTCATTTCCCACACGCACGCACGATGGTGTTACATGTAACGTGAACGTTGCTTGCTTTTTTTTTTGCTCGGCACACCCAGCTCGAGGAGGGGCGCGAGAGATGGCGGAGCCGGCTGGAACGGCTCCAGGAGGAGTGCTCCGAGGAGCGCAAGGCGGTCAGGGAACAGGTGTCCCGCCTCACGGAGAGGGCGGAGGGAGCGGAGGCGGCGGCGAGGCGGGCGGCGGGGGTCCGAGAGGACAAGTCGGCCGGGCTAAGAGCCTCCCTCTCGGCCGAGTTCGCGCAGGTTTGTTGCAGTTGGTGATGCAGCTGTTTTGGTTGTTGTGGCTGTTGGTCTGGTGCGCCTTGGCTCCGGGGGGGGCGGGGGGGGGGGGGTTCGGTCGAGTCGATCCTTCGCCAAACGCGGGCTGCCGCGTGTGTTGAGTTTCCGCCGCGTGTGTTGAGTTTCCGCAACAGTTTGTTGCGGGCGCTCCATTGAAACGGTCTCACACACGCAGCTTGACTCTCCACCCCTCCTTACCCGTGCCGCCTCCCCCCCTTTCGTCTATCGTCCACCCTCCGTTACCCGTACTCCTCGCGTGTTGGTCATTACCCCCCTCTCCATCTGACTCTTTCCTCTCTGTTGGCGGTGGTGTTATGCCTCGGATTGTAATTTCAGGTGGAAGCTAAAGTCGCGGCGGTCCTCGGCAGAAAAACTGAGCAGGTGGGTGAACGGATGGATGGGTCGGTGCGTGGCTGTTTTAGGTTGGCTCGTCGTCGGCACGTTGATTGCACGAAAATCGCGGGAAGCATAACTCTCCACAACAATGGACAGAATGGAGAGAGAGAAGAAGCAATGATGTTGCGAGAGGGAGCGAAAAGGAACAGGCAGTAGACAATGTCGCGCCAATAGTCTTATGTTTGACAATGGCGGGGTCTGATAAGAAACATAATTTGCAGAGTTTTATCTCCCTCGAACACGTGCATGACGATGAAGATGCCAACGTGGCATCAGATGCTCTCAAACGTCGGGTGCTACACACATGCCTGCGTGTAGCGTCTCGCTCTCGTCTGCGTGACCCGAGCGTGATGACCACCTAGCGCCGTTGCACTTTCATGGGCAGTTCTTTCATCTCTGTTGGCGATGCGCATCTCTCTGGTTGTCGAAGTGTATACATACCTGGTTGCTGCGTGTTGGCTTGTGGGGACCGTGAGCTGTTCTTCCGAAGCCTCACCAAACCAGCTATCATTATAGCAACAGAAGCAGCAGCCGCCGCATCAACAACAACTTTTACGACCAACCTCGACCATACCCGCAGGCGGATGCCCTGAAGGAGCGCCTGACTTCCTTGCAAGGCCAGACCAAGGCCCGGGAGGAAGAGCTATCCGATCATCGACGTCGGACTTTCAGCTAACCAGGCTGAAAACACACCAAAGAAAGTGTTGTAAAGACTGCGCATGATGGTGGTAGTCGTCGTTATTGTTGGTACTGCATTAAGTCGAGAGAGATCAGATCAGACCCTGGATCTTAAACGGGGAGTAGAAAGGCTTCCGGCTACCGCGCCTGCTATAAGCATAAGGCTACAGTGTATCTATGTATTGTTCGAGATGCTGGCACAAAACTTTGAAAGAGGAGGGTGGCGGGTTGGTTGTGTCCAGCTCCCGCGGAACCTCACCCCCACAACAGGCTTCCGAGAAAGCAAGTGCTTCGTTTGCTTGTCGGATTATGTACCTTCGTCGAGTTTTCGCGCGCAACTTATCTCTGGCTTTTGAGTAGAGTATCCATCCTCCAGGCCTTGTGTCTTGCTAGATACCGCTTGACGTGCACCATCATCGTACAGTGCAGAGAGAGCGTGTGTGCCCACCAAGGGCACCCTCGAGCAAAGCACCACCAAACAAATAATTCCGCGATGCCGGGTGAGGATCGCCACAACCTGCCGCAGGCGTTAGATCGTTGACCTCGCATCCCTATAAAGTCGGGACGGAGCACGCCGGGTTCTCACCGGACCAGGCACTAGCATCACCAATTGCGAAGCGTCGTGAGGTATTCGGCGAGTCGCATGAAGGGTGCGCTGCATCCTGCTAAGGGTGTTCGGCATCTTGTGCTTACTTCCTTGCTTACGGATGACAGCTGCGTATGACTTAATTTATTTTCTGGTGCTTTCACTTCCAGAGACAGTTGGAAGCGCTGCGTAACTGCCTCGAGGGTGCTTGACCAATTTAACACAACGTGCGATTTATCCCCTTTGCGCGGAGTGAGGGTTCTCGACCCCGCACAACATAATCTGCTCGACCACCATTCATGGTTACCGCAAAAAAAAGATACCAAGAGCAAAAAAAAAAAAAGCGGTAACCTGGTAGCCGAGCTCACGAAGTGATCGGCTTGTTTTACAACATCGCTGCCAAGCGACGAAAACCCAATCCCGATGGCAAACACCAGGGGGGGCGGCCTGTTGTACAACGTCGTTGCCAAGCGACGAAAACCCAACCCCGATGGCAAACATCGTTGCGCTACGTGGAGGGGGGGGGGGGGCGAACGGGTATTATTCTATTTTTGTCTTGGGCAAAACGTGCCACCACTGCGGTGTGTAGTTCAAAACTTGAAAGGGTTCAAATTCTAATGAGAACAGGACCCACACCTTCAACCTATTTATAGAGTTCCTGTTGGTTGGAATAGAGAAGCGAGCCCTCGAGCAAAGCGTGTTCTAACCGCCGTTGATTTGTGTCGGTACCGTTGCCTACATCTGTTCATTTTGCATCGCTCCGTGGACGGGGGGGGGCGAATCAATCCGATAGACGAACACAGACGACCACACAATGACTCGATGCTGGCGCATGTATTGCATGTGCGCCTTATTTTGTGCTTCTCTACCCGTGCCAGCTTAGGCCCCCCCCTCCCTATATTATCCACCAGAAAATAACCAGTCCATTAGATGGTGCACCTCCATAGATAGGCGTCTCGACGGCAACTGGGGGAAGGATGTCATCATCGCTGCACAAACAGGCATATTTTTAATGACGAGCCCCGCGAGGCACACACACACCCTTACACTGTAACTGCAGTCTAGAAGAGTTTATAGGAGTCTCAGTAACAGCAACAGTCGTCGTGTTGTCGTTCTTCGTGATATCTTGCGTTCCAGGAAGGATGTAGTCCACAGCTAGCTACAAGTCAAACAGTAGATCCTTTTGAAGTATTTACTGCTGTAGCTCCGAATCTGACCCATGCACGTCTTCCATGTTGTGCTTGCCGTCAGTCCAATTGTCACTACATAACCACAAGCAAGCGCAAGCGAGCACATACATCTAATCAGTGAGTTTGAGATAGAGAATGCCCACGTTTGCTAACAGCTTCATCTGTATAAAAACGGAGTGAGTACCCACACAGGGACTGCTGTACACAGTACTACGACACCGTCAGCATACTACCTAGACTACATGTTTTATTCAGATCCCTTGTCGTAAAAAAACATACCTACTTGTTGTGTTGTCGATATCAATCCGTCCAGGATGATCATGAGTGGGGGACGACACTATTTGAATGATGAACACGCGCGACGGGCAGACATGTAGCCGCCCCGGCCCTTCCTCTCTCTGCACCGTCGTGGGTGGGGTACACTCTTTTCTTGAACGTTTGCACATGTTTTGCTTATTTACCCCGCCGCCGAAGGATATTCTGATGCCAGTACAACAACTGGTGGTGCAATCACCCGCTCATGTCTCTGATCTCTGATCTGCAACGTGCCAAAAAGTGCTTCTTTTTTTTTTTCGACGGCACACGTCACTCACGTTCAAATAATGTCGTCATCAGGCATCATTGGCGATTATTCCTCCGCACGCTGACTTTTTCTGCCCGCTACATCCACACAACTCGCGGCCCGGCTCTCTCACTCTCTCACTTATAGCCACCAGCGCACACTTCCACCAACTCTGGCCCTCTGACTGAGCAGCAGACGCACCGGCCTTCCTCTATCGCGCAGTTTTCACTTGCCTTTTTCTCCTTCGTACCGCCGTACTTCGCGCATCTACAAGCTCCGGAGAGGTCATCCACATCTGACATCAAGAGGGCACACGTCAACACCATGGCCGCCCCACCTCCGCCCACGACAACAACGGTTGCTGCGCCAGCGAACACCGGCTCCGCCCTGGCTCGCCGCGCGCTGAGAGAGCGGCGAGCCCAGCGGCAGGCGCATGCCTCGCAGGCGGTGCTCTCCTCGAGGCGCTGGGTGGCCGCCGCAGCGGCCTCGTCCAGGTTCCCTTCCTTGCAGTACGAGCACCTCGAGGACATGCGACGCAACCTCATGGCGCGTCGACGCGTGTATCAGATCCAGCAGCAGCAGCAGCAGCAGCGGCAGCAGCGGCAGCAGCGGCAGCAACAGCAACACCACCACATCAACGCCCCTTCTTCTGCCGGCCTGCCCGCCGCCGCGAGCACCGCCGCCGCAGCACCGGCACCAGCACCAGCACCAGCAGCTGTAGCACCTGACGCACACCTCATCGCGTTGCTGGAGAAAAGGGGCCGCACACCCAAGGCGACCGTCAGCTCGTCGGAGGCCGGGTACAGCGCGCCGCCGACCGCAAAGCAGGTCATGGACTACGACGCGCAGCCGCACCTGAGCGGGCTCGCCAGGAGGGGCGATATGGAAGGGCTGCAGAGGGCGGTGGACACAGGCAGACGCATGGTGAGCTGGTGTCACGCACTACTGCACACAGCAGGACGCGGCGGCGTCGTGGTCGTCGCTGCCGCTGATCCCGCTTTTTTTTTTTTAGTTCCTGTTTTTTTGGGAACGGAACGCGTTCTTTTCGATTGATGGTGGTGACTGCTGATGGCTGCTGACGAGCGCCAGTGCAAACGCACCGCCGCCACCGTTGCCGCAATTGTGTGCGTGCCCCAGCCGTAATTTCCCTTCTACAACGCGTTTCTGCTATGGGCGAGAGATTTGACGTTCGTTATTTGTTTCGACCAGCGCCAAAACATTTTACTCGTACATTTGTGTAGCACATACGTGGAGGTAAGGAGCGGTTAAAATGTTAAATTGGGATCTGAGATCCATTCGGAAAAACCCACGAGGGAACGCGCAAGGGACCAACAACATGTACGGTCAGGAGCAAACAGCCCACAACAGCTTTAGTCTTGAGTCTGTGAGCTCGCAGGAATAGCGTGCGTGCGCTCGTTGTTTTGGTGTGTTGTCGCTCCAATATTGCACACCTGCAATTAAGAAACACGACTGACACCACCGGTTTTTTCCAGTAGAGTTTTTCCGGCGACGTGGGCACTACGATGCGTACGTGTTCAAAAACTCTTTTGATTGGAACATCCATCAAATCAATGACCTCTATCCCAAGACCACTCAAGCCCGCCTGTGGCCCCACCTCCCGACTGAACTCCCCGGTTCGATCTACTCGTGCAACCCGCTATAACATATCATGTGGCGATGCTAATGTTTGTGGGAAAAGCACCGAGACTTTGATTTGTGAACGGCTACTGGTTGAGGTTTCATGCGAAACGTGACCTTGCCTCTGCGTTGTCGCTTTTTTGTCCACGTCAAGCCGCCATGCTGATGTGTTTCCAGAAGTGTTTTTCCCCATTTCATCATCGCGGTATCTATATCCCGATTAGTCCAGCGAAGTATTTTATGTTTTCTTACACATCTACAAGAGGAAGTTAAACCAGCGTGGTGTACCCGTAGGTAGCCAGCCTGTGGTGACCGCGTCACTGCAGGACCAGCGATACACGTGGTGGAAGGTGGCCGGGCAGAGATCATAACGGTGACCCCAACCCGGAACAAAAACGTTCACGGAGCAACACCTCCACCGCGGTTGGTACCCTCAGTGACTACATACCTGAGTCATCAAGTCAACAACTAGCTCTTGTTTCCTGTCTGCAACTTCTATCTACTGGTGCTGTTGTTTCCTTTTCGCGTCGTGTGGCGGCTAATAACGCGCACTTCCTTTCCCGACGAACACTCACGTGCGCCTGGCGCCCGCGCGAACACTTCCATCCTGTACAAGAAGCTTCTGAAACAAGCGAATACAGCAGTACCACCACGTGGTTGGCCTGTCTGCACAGACGACGTCACCAGTATTTTCATTGAGGATTCGATTGCCACAGGAAATGAGTGGAAGTTCGTGAACCTTACCCACAGTCATGAACCGTAAGCATTCCTTTGTTGGCTTCCCCACCAAGCAAATAACGACGGAGGTATACTCTCAGGCTAAGCAAGTGTTCTTAGGTGGGGTGCGGTCTTATCAAAACTTGGCTGCCAACGAGACACGTGGGGGCCACTCCTTTCCGCTTCGAAACCGATCGCCGTTTATCTCGACATGAAAAAACCGTCTCGGTCTCTATTATAGCTCACAGCAGTACCTCCGTACCGATTGAACTGACGCGGGCTTGATACGCTAACCAATAAATCGAAAGCATCCTCACAGTCCGCTATGCACCTAGTATGCAACAATAGAGCGTGGGCCCTGTCAACGGGCGGCGGGTAACCCGTCAAGACCTGTTCACGCGCCCAACACAGTGCTGCAACAGACAGCAGTCTTTCCTCCTGGCTTACGTTACCCCGCGTGAGCTTGTCCTGTTTGGTTTACACGCCGTGTACAAAACTTGTTCGTGGTCTGCCCGTTTTTCTACCCGCCCTTCCCCATTGCGAATCAATCATTCAAATATTGCAGTACATTGACCATGTTTTGTCCCGCCTCGATTTTTTTTTTTTTCAATGCGATGATACGCCCACAGGACTCTTCAGCAACAAACCATCCCGCGAGTCTTATGTCGCTCAATATCTTGCTTCTTATCCCTCCTCCTTCTTATTTCCCCCCCCCGCCGTTCGAACGAAAAAAAAACAGGATGCTTGCAACAAGTTCGGCGAGTCTGTCGTGCACGTCGCCTGCCGCCGCGGCAACCTGCCCCTCCTACTCTTCCTGGTGGCCAACGGCGGCTCCCTGACGGCCTGCGACGACCTGGGCCGCTTCCCGCTGCACGAGGTCTGCTGGGCGGCGCAGCCCCGCTTCGACATCGTCCGCGTGTTTCTGGAAGAGGAGAGGGAGGCCAACAACCGGCGCCGCCAGAGCAGCAGCAGCAGCAGCAGCAGCAGCAGCAGTGATGCAACCACCGTCAGTGGTGCGAGCACCAGCACCAGCGGTGGCGAGAGCACCCGCTCCGGCAGCGACAGCATGGCTGACGGCGATGACGACGGCGACAACAACAACGACAACAACAACGACAACAACAAAGACAACGACAACATCGTCGGCAACCTGAACATGCTCCTGGTGACCGACAAGAGAGGCTGCAGCCCGCTGCGCTATGTGAAGGAGGAGTCGTGGCCTGCTTGGCGGCAGTTCCTGGATGAGGTGGTCGACGAGTTCTGGCCGTCCCTCGTTTGAGCACGCACGCACGCAGCAAACGAAATAGCTGTACAGCTGCTGTATTGTAGTGCCATTTCGTACAGGGTACATCGATATACATAGGGTTAACGGGGCTGCGCCACCTGCGGGATTGGTGCTACGGGGCACGGTGTTCCCCGGGAAGGAAAGTAGCGCACGGGGGGAGGGGTTCAGAGGCCGAACCGCCGCCGTTGCGAAAAAACACGCAACAACGACCTCCCAGGTGCTTGGCGGGAACAATTTCCAGGTGCTGGGAGGTTGGGGCGCGGTAGGGCTCCTTGAGGCAGGGGTTGGGGGGGCCAGGGGGGGCGGGGGGGGGGGCGGGGAGAGTGGTGTGAAACTGACCAAGAAGTACGTTTTTTTTTGTCTCTACTCTGTCTACTTGTGACTGCTGTGTCCACTTGACCTTTGTCTGCTTGACCCTCTTCTCTGTATTAAGCGTCGTGTTACTTTCTTCCTATTGTGTTGGCGAGGCCGTCTTCTCTTTTTGTGTGTGTATAGCCGAGCCTGTTCGCGCGGTATCTAGCGGATTGTTTTGGTGTCACCTACTGTTCTGTGAAAGCAATGCCAGTTCTATCGGCTGCATCGCGCGCTACGTTGTTGCGTCGCTCGATTTTTTTAGGTTGTTCACTTTTGCTGTGTGCACGATAGTGATTGTGGGTAGAAGCTGGTCCCGGTTGTGTGTGGTCTCTGGTGAGTGTGTTTTGCGTTTGTTTGGCTTTTTGCTGTCTCATAGTCAGTATGTCGTCGGAAGGGTAGTGACGTCAACCACACAAACACACGGTTGAACGATATATATCTCTAGTCCGCATTCTGGTGCACCAAAAAAGGTAGCACGCTGCTGTTGTACTGCGCTTGTTTGAAGAGTGTGATGGTCTCACTCTTTGATTTACTTTCTTCTACATTGTGGTGTTTTAAAATTGTGGTGGTGACGTGTACCCGCGGGGACGGACCCGTAGCACCGTTCCCGGGATTGTGGTACCTTTTATTGGTTCGTTTTCTTGTCGCGGGAACCCGTGGGGGCGTTCCCCGGGATTTGGTACCTTACAATTGGTTCGTTTGTTCTTTTTCTTAATAGGTCGTTTTTCTTTCTAATAGCTGGCTGGGCGCTTTGCGTGCCCAGTCACGTTCGGAGAAGGGCTGCTACCCCACAAGGGGGGCGTGTCGTTGTCATCGTCGTGTAATGTTGCGTTTTTTTTATGACGTGACGTGCTTTTTTTCCTCGCAGAGGAGGGGGCTGTTGATCGGTGTGTGTGTGTGTTGTTGTGTCCGTCCCATCTATATATTCTGGAGCCAGGTCTACGGACACCTTTCGGCACATGTATCTGACGTACGTACATATCACCCCCCGGGTCACATACACCCGGGAGGAAGGTAGCAAGTCCAGGAGGGACTTTTTTTTTTCGTTTTCAGTAGGAGCTGTTTAGAAGGAGCGGTGATGCAGCATGCAGACACCGACGAATTGAAGGGGTCATGAAGAGTTGAGAAACGGAACAGAATCGTGAGCTCACAAGCACGAATACATGAGGATCACGCCAAAAGCATTCGATTCATTCCGCTGCTGCTGCTGCTGCTGCTGCTGCTGCTGCTGCTATGTTTTCAGCCAGAATGCCGGTAGTTCGAGGCTCCAGGCAGTTGTCTTGTGACCACGGAAGGCATCAGCGTCAGTTGTACTGTTATATATAGTATAGTATAGTATAGTACGGACATTGGAAGGTACTGAGTGGAGACCGGAACGGTTTTAAATGTGAAGACAACAACAACAATAACAACGCACTCAAAGGACGAAGATACTCGCACACACACACCACACACAGTGGCCTAGCCTCCCGCAAGACGCCCCCTCACGGGGTCCCAGATCATGGCCTTTGGACCGTTTGCAACCACTGAGACTGACGACGTTTTTTCATTGGTTAGCCGGTTAGCGCGGTCGATGCAAACAAAAAAAAAAGACCCACCACAGGAGGAGGCAGACCTCGGCGAGCATACCGACGATGAGACCTCACTTCTGGTGTAACCCCCTGAGTGAGTGGAGAGGTTTGTACTACAGCAGTACTCCCCTGTAATTTTCGGTTATTTAGTGAGCTGCGGAGACCCATGTATCCGTGGACAGCTTTATCATGCCTCGGTGACACTTGGATCGTGCAAGCAAGTCTTCCACGCCTACAATACTCCTTGGGGCTTCCCGCACTCAACCCTGCTAATTTACACAGCGGTATTTCTGCTGGGTGATCGGCGTGAGCAGCTGCCCTCGCTCGTGGATGTCTTCCACGCCACGCACTCTCCTGTAGAATATCATCTCGGGACACGCCACGCACTCTCTCGCCATGCTACATACTTTGGTGTTACGTCTGCTGGTGGGCCTGCGTGAGCATCATCTGATCTGCACTTCGCTCGTGGTAGCGCCACTTGTCTCAAGCAGGCGTCTCGAACGAGAGCCCCCCCTGCCAACACCACGACTACTCTTGATTTCTTCTTACACACGGTAGAAAACCAACGACTTCGTCTCGATCCACCGATAACAGAGAGAGTCCCCGACTTTTTTTATCCTACAAAAAAAGCTTTGTGCCCTCATCGTGTGTGCGGTGTCAACAACCACCACACTACTGCTGTACAAGAAATACAAAGAGAAGCCTAGCCGAACTTGGCTCGTCGGGCTTCGAACGCCTTGCTGCGGGTCCCCGCCAAGAGCTTCGGTAGGGCAGCCCTCCCGATCTTGGGGGAGTCAGACCCGCCGCTGCCGTCGACGCTGCAGCTGCCGCCGCCGTCCTCGTCGTCGTGTTCCTCCAGCGGCACCTGAAGGCTGCTGCCGAGGGCGCGGGTTCGAAGCATCCCACCGGACGGCGGCGCGGTCTGTTGTAGTAGTAACCATCGTACAAAGCGCGCGGAGCGTGGTTGGGAGGGGGGGGGGGGGGGGGCTGGTCCTTTGATTGTCTACAAATAATGGTAGTTGCTTTTGCTTGGAGCATGTTAACCTTGGGGGTGGGGGGGGGGGGGGGGGGGGG